ACCGCCTTACTGCACTTATACAATTGTATCGTTGTGTTTGTAAATTGTCTTGCTTATTTCCTATATTGTATAATGCAAATAAAGTATACTCATTCATTCATTCATACATTTTCTATGGGGCCAATCTGTAAGAATATCAGTAACTAGCTTTCAACTTTTGTAAATGACTTCAGAATAGAACTTATGTCTTTCTTCGTTACATGTTTTTTTTAGAATGGCAAACAAGCTGACGGGGCCCACCTGATGGATAGTGGTAGCCGTCGCCTATAGACATGAGCAGTACCATGGACGTAACAGAGTATACTGTTTCGTGTCATGGACACCGTCATGCGTCATTCCTAAGGACTCAGGTGTTATTCCTCTGTACCCTGTAAATTCACTGCCATATCTCACCCTTCAAACCGAAACACAGACGGTAGACACACGAATGTAGTATGTACATACTAAATTTCATAGTAACTAGAGGTGTTAAGGCGCTAAGAACAAACAAACAAACAAATCCACTTTCATATTTATAACATTAATAAGGATAATTAATAAATAAACTTTCACATTGCCAGCCAGTGCTTGAAAATTGGATTACAAAATTACGTATTATGAAATGTACACTTATATTTATAAAATACTAGCGGCCCGTCCCGGCTTCGCACGGGTGGACATTCTTATAACATTTTAAAAAGTGGTTATTGTGACATAACGTTAATAGTTAGACATATAGTATCGGGAACTTGTTTGTAGTTATTGATATTTTCTTCAATATTGTAGAACATACTTTTGTTCCATCGCCAATAGTTTCCGAAGCGCACGCGACGAAAGATATTTTATAGCATTTTTTACACCTTGAATTACGTTACTAAAGTTTTAGTAAGCATCCCTAATCTTTTCTAGCAATGAATATAGCCTATGTTACTCAGGGTGAATTTAACTTTCTAATGGTGAAATCATCAAAGTATTTTTTGAGTTTATTCATTACAAACATACATACGTACACACAAAACTACAAATCTTTCCTCTTTATAATATTAGTGTAGATTATTTATATTTATAATAAATGTATACTTATAACACGCATAAAATAAATTAAAACTTTGTAACAACAGAACCTTAACGAAAACAAAGGAAAGTCGGGGCGTCACCCATGGAAATAGGTCACTGGTAACATTTTATGGGTGGCAACAGCAAACGTACCTGGAACGGTGGGGAACCACGTAATGTATTACAAATGGGACAAATTAATAGCAGGCATGGGTATAAGTGGTACTGCTCCGATATCTATATATTGGGTTCTACATACATTGATAGTGGAAAAAGGTTATTACCTATTTCGATATCGCCCATACCAGTCCGATATCTATATTCGTTTTATTCGGGTTCTTTACTTCAAAATAATTAACTAATAAATAATATATCCGTTAATGTGTCAATATATGGGGGAAAGGGATTGTTAGTAATGGAAACTGAGAATCCTTTTGTTAGCAATATACCCAACAAGGTCGACCTTCTCGCGGTTCCCCCTGGAAACTATCATGGTTAATTCCTGATGAATTCATCATAATGGACTAACTGGCCTGTTTTCATTCTCGTCTATCACTCTTCACTGGTGCTCCGCCAGCGTATCCCGTTAGCGCAAGCGGGGTTACCATACCATATTCACCCATCCAAAAAAAAAGTGTCAATATATAGATATTGTGACTACAATATAAACATAGATATTGCTGTAGATTACCCATCCCTAATTAATAGCTTCGCTGGCATTATTTATCTCTCGATATTATTACGTTAAATGGGACAATTTGTCGTTTATATTATACTAGCTGTAAATCATGGATTTGCCTGTTTCAATTGTAATGAAAAGTGTCATATATGTTAATTAATACTACTAATATAATAAAATTGTTACTAGACGATGTCTGTACACGGCAGATATTGAGGAAAAAACAATATGAGAGATCTTAATAAAAGTAATAAGAGTTATAACAATAATTTTATTAAATTATTAATTCACTCTTTTCGCCATTCACTCATTCGCCACCTGCTCTTTTCTATCTGTTCTCCTTTAACTAAAGGTTGTCTGTAAGAGTTTGCCCTAGCGATAAGACCGCCTTTTGTACCTTTATGTGTATATTGCAATCTGTATTTATGTTACTGTATTTCACTTGAATTATTCACTTGTCATTGTATATTTTTATTTATGGTGCAATAAAGAGTTAAATAAATAAATAATTTTCAGAAATTCTGCCTGTCTGTCTCTCTACCCAAATATTCCAGCATTACGCAAAAACTACTGCATCAAATTGGATGCGGTTTTCACAGTTGTATTCGTGAAGGTCTAATTGAAAACCTGGTATATATTTTATCTTAATGTGACATCTATAAACGGTCAATGTAATTGGTTTTTCTACTTCTGAAATCCACACATACGAAATATAAAAAAAAAATTGCTCCTAAAAAAAGACAGTTTTTACAGTACTTTTCACAGTTGTATTCCTGAATGTCTAACTTAAAATCTGGTATATGTTTCATTTTGATACATCATCTACCAGTGATCTAACTAACTGGTTTTCCTACTTTTAAAATCCACGCGTATAAAGTAACGGGCAAAAAACTAGAAGAATTATGGTCTATCTTTGTGACAAACATTAAAATTCTATCTATCTGTTATCATTCAACATCAAGTGGGTAAAAGTACTCTAATAATAATCTAAATATACAGATAGAAATATAAATATACATCAAAATCTAAATAAAAGTCATTTCCCTAATACATATATCCCTTTTTTTATACCACTGAGGTGGCAAACAGGTATACGGCCCACCTGATGGCAAACGGTTACCGTAGCCTATAAACGCCTGCAATACTAGGTGCATTACGCGCGCGTTGTCGACCCTGAAGAAACCTCTTTACCCGGGGGAAAGGGATTGTTAGTAATGGGTTCTAACAGCCTATTGCTGACGATACACCCTATCAGGTCAACCTCTACGCGGTTCCTCCTGGAAATCATCGTAGTTAATACTTTTTTAATTCTTCACGAGGGGATAAGTGACCTGCCTTCATCTTCACCTGTCATCTATCACTGGTGCCCCGCTAACGTATACCGATAGCGCAGGTGGGGTTGGGTACTATTCCATTTTCACCTATTAAAAAATACCTCTTTACCCCCTTTTTTATTCTTCTTTACTACACTATCTCTTTTACTGTATATCTATCTTTTTATTGTACGGATAATTTGGTAGTATTGTTTTATTGTTATACCCTATTCCCTTTGGCCGCAACAGAATATCAGTGCTTTGCTCTTTTGAGGGCGAAGCAATAAACTGAGTTGTGGCCATTTTGTATTGCTATGGCAACACTCACAAACGAAAATTGTATTTAGCTTTATGTATTTTTTTTATCATTTATGTTATCTCGCTTTGTTTTTGTATGTGTATGTTGTAATTTGTGTGCTGTAAGTAAACAATGCAAATAAATTATCTATCTATCTACACTCGTGTAAAGTCGAAAAGGCAGCTTGTTAAAAAAAAATAACTACAAAATTCTAATATCGACATTATAGACGAATAGTATTCAAAATCAATACATGAGCTACGTACAAATCGAACACACGTGATACATTACACTGAACAGACGTCTGAAGTATTCCGTAGTTATTTAGTTCAAGGGCTAGCGTTATATTTGTTGCTACCTTCCAAGCGCAGTAACATTTTTCAGTGCTGACGAATGTTATGGTCCGTTCATATATACGAGTACGTACGTCATAGACGATCCGTTGTTAATAACGATTCGTAAAAAAACGGATAAAGTGTAATAAGTTTAAACAATAATTAATATAAGTCATAAGAAACTGGCCGTGTGGTCCCGGCATAGAATAGGCTACCCATTCCTTTCCCGTGGGTATTGTAAAAGGCGAATAAAGAAACTTAATGGTAGAAGGATGAGCAGCAGCGTACCTTTTAAAACGACCTAAAAACTATGGATGCCAACCCGCCTGCCAAGCGTGGCAACTACTGGCAAAACTCCCCTTTAGGGAAGGCTTAAATTCAGCAGTGGACAGTTAATGGCTAAAATGATGATAAGGAACTGTGCTAACGATTTTTCAACGTCTTCGTATTCGCGATTTGTGATCATATGTATACGGTGATAATTACTTACAGGCTACTACAGGAAAAAATAATCGATTTATCTGAAAAATGTAAGAAGACATACTAACTCATACACCATTTACACGTACAATCAACTAGCTGTATCCCGCGGCCTTGCTTGTGATCGTTTAGCAAATGTAATATTCCTCAAGAAATGAACTATTAAATGTAAAAAGAATTTATCAAATCTGATTGGTAGACTGGTAGTAAAGCACGTACAAACAAAAAAAATCTTCCGTTTTATTATATATCCAATAACTTTTAGTACATCTACCGAATTACTAAAATAATCGTATTATATAAGAAAAATAAGGAGTCACAAGAATTTGCTATAAATAGTGCAGTACAACAGCGCTCAGATTCTAAGGGTCAATTCACATCACACTGAGATGGTAGCGAAGCGACGCCGCGACGCGGCGAGTGGTTTCAATGTCAAAATTTATGAAGCGTTTTAAACTATATTGTATTTACTATTTAATAATTGTTTCTATTATTTCAGTATATACATGTGATTTGAATCCTAACAAACTCAACGTGAGTAGTTCTAACTGAGGAGTATAAATAAAAAGAAAATAGATTGCAAAAATAAATGTCAAAATCGTAGCTTACACTGGAGTATACTCAATCTATCGAAAAATGTCCAAAATGATTTATAATTGTTAACGGCTAAGATATTACGTAACTAAAAAAATAAATTCAAATTTAGAACATCCTTTCTGAAAACGTTTTATAGTATCGCTGGCAAGCCGAAAAACGGTCGAGGAGTCTTAAACCGTAGGTTTGTGTCACTCCAAACGCTGCCATCACGGTATGAATTGCCCCTTATACTTTCTACTTTTACACCACTTTTTTACACTTACTGGATGGCCGGAACTTCGAGACGTCTGCGCCGCATTTCTCCCTGTTGTACGACATTTTCTTGCACATATTCCATGGTCCGAAGTAGCCTTGCTCGTAGCTAGGGTTTACCACTGGGGACAAGGAAAAAGCAATGTTAATAAAATCAGTTAAAGTCTAAATTAGGATTCAAAAAATTTAGAAGACAAATTCAAACCTTGCGGTGCCAAAGATTATTAATAGTGATGAATGTGGTGGTAGCAAAGGCTATTGAGCTAGTCATGATAGTTTTCAGAATTATAAATTAACTTCTGCAAAACTTTTGTTTGAAAGAAAATGTAAATGAACAAAGAATAATTTTGCTGGATAAAAAATCGACTTATATCATGGCCAATTCATATGGGACTAGCATGCAAATTTATATGGGAGCAAACTATATAAATTATATCCGATATATATAAACTATATCCTATAGTTAATTCTAATATAGAATGGGCTGCCCATTCCTTTCTCGTGGGTGTTATAAAGGGCGACTAAGATAGCTTAAATATCGAGGGATGGGAAGCAGCGTCCCTCCTTAAAACATTACTAAAGCCTAACTACGGTTGCCAAGCCGCTTGCTAAGCGTAGCTACTGGCAAAACCTTTAAGGGTGAGGATGAGGTTCAGCAGTGGATAATTAATGGCTAGTATGATTATATGATAATAAAACTCTTAAAAAAAAAGAAACAAGCTAAATAGTAATATGCTAATTCAAAAAACTAAATGAATGGGGTACTATTTCGCGTACTGTATTTCAATCCAAACCCAATACGTTTAACAGTTCCATTTAGAATCTCGATCGATCCATTGACAACTTCTATTCACGACTGACGTGAATGGGATTTCCGCAGTAATGTAAAAAAAATATCCAATATGTACAGACTTATAATGTATTCTCATTTTAAAAATATTTTACGATACCTTAAAAAAGTATGGTTTTATAGGCAAGAGGTGTAACAAAATAAATTCATTTTTCAAAATTAATCAAACATCGTTGCCAATTTAGTATTTCTATTAAATTAATATTTTTAATTTTATATTTTTCATGTTTTTAATTTAAATCATCAAACAAAGTAAAGAAAAAAAATACAAAAAAAAGACTTCAATTGCGACAAAACAATCTGATGATCAGCGACCTTTTTGCTTCACAAAGAAAAACAACTGATTCGTGAGAAATAACGGTTTCACGTGCCTTCCGAAATATGGCAAGTGAAAATCTTTGGTAACTCATTCAAATATTAATTTGGAATTTCAAAAAAAAATTCAAAGACCGGGATTCGATCTTCCTATCTTCCGAAGGAGCGCAAATCTTTATTCGACTGAGCTATAAGCTAAGTGAAATTACAGAATACACAGAGTCATAACGCTATAGTCCTCAGGAATGGCAGTCAGTGTATTTTGTGAAGTCCATGGTGTTGTTCGTGTCTATTGGTGTCGGTTACCACTTTCCATCAGGTAGGCCGTCAGTTTGTTTGCCATTCTATTTGGTTTAAAAATCCTGACGTAATATGTTGACACAATATTACGAGTAGAATTTGATGCGCAACACAAGTGTGACCTTAGAGTAACTGTGACATACATATTTGGGCATGACAATGTGATAGTAAACTTGTTTGTCTAGTGGGTGCTGTCATGACACTTGTATGTATGTACCATTGCCTATTTGTTGTAACAACACCAATTTTAAGTTTGGAGTTTTATTATCGACTTAGGTATTATGTAGTTTTTTTTTAATGGATGATAATGGAATTGTAACTTCGCCTGCAAGGTATACACTAGCGGGGCACCAGTGAGGGATGACAGGTAAGAATGAAAGGGCAGGTCAATTAATCCATCATGATGAGTACACCTGGAATTGCAACCACCTGCACAATGGTTTCGAGGGGGGACCACGTGGAGGTCGACTTGATAGAGTATATTGCTAGCAATGGGACAGATAGTCTGCATTACTAACAATCACTTTCTCTTCAGTATTGTGTAGTTTATGTACTAAATTATTTTTACTTGAATTAAAAATTAGGTTTCATTATATTTTGGTAAAATCTATTTCATAAGGGGGGTCAAAAAATTCGTTTCACTCGAATCTTACTACGTCTCAGTATGTGTATAATCCGCCGATGAAACTGTACTAGTTCGTTAATTATAGTCCCTTAGCGCGAGCGACCAATTAAATTTGGGGGGTTATACAAAATGGATCCTTCCATGGCGTAATTGAAAAAACACAGCTCGGAATTGCAAAAGTCTATATTACTGCATCATCATCATCATCATCACATCAGTCGTTAACTGTCCACTGCTGAACATAGGCCTCATATCACTGATTATTAGATAAGAATTATTTTGTTTTCACACGTGTTTCACTTATAAACCGCTAAACACGTGTCGCAAAACGTGCATGAACAAAATGGCAGTCGGAGATTGATGACTAATATGGAAGGTTGTGGAACTTCTGGTAGTAATAGTGATGATCACTCTTCGATTGTTGGCAGTCACATACATACTAATGGTGGTGGAATTAAACAAAATAATTATAATCAAATAACCAGAAACTGCATAATCTCAGAAACTGCACTTAAAATATGAGGTAACGTTAATAGAGTTTTATTGTTAGCTACACCAATAGCATTAATACCGAATATTCAAATGCAAGCAACCATAGATCACATACATCTAGATGGAGTATTACAAAACAAACTCTTCTGTAAACAGACCAATTTTTTTATACATGCGTGCATAAAGAAGGATATTAAAATGTAAATACTCAGTATGTGAAAGAAATATATACTTTAAGTTCATCATGTCAGTCTTTATCTGTGTATTGTTGAACATAAGTCACCCCCTTGAGTAATTATACTTGAGCCAGTAGTTGTCACGCTTGGCAGGTGGATTGGCAATCGCAGTCACACTTTAAAGATGTTTAAAGAGGGACGCTGCTGCTCATTCTCGCCCTTCCTTACTCGTCTCTTACTACACCCACGGGAAAGGAAGAGGTAATCTATTTTATGCCGGTACCACACGGTCAAATTTATTTTAAGATAAAATTGAAAAATTACAATAGAATAGTGCGCCACCTACCCTTTGTCTTTTTCTCAATGTCCTCTACCCAAAGGTTGTCTGGAAGAGATTGCTTAGCGATAAGGCCGCCTTTTGTATCACTTCTCATTAATATTCACTGTATTTGTTATCTCTCTTTCTAAATTGTGCAACAAAGTGTAAATAAATAAATATATATAAAAATTCGCGATATGTATTTTTTAAAAAACACGTGTTAGCGAATAGTCACATAAAGCGTCATCTTGATGCAAAATGATCTACGTTACACCATATTATACAAGCAACAGTCTTATACAAGCAAAGGTTTCAATGTAGGAAGGTCGAGGAAGTGTTAAGAGAGAAGAGGGCCCAGTCACGACTTCCTTACGTTCTAATTGAATTCATACTGTATTGCGAATTGGTCGCTAATTGCAGGCCGGCAAATCGCCGGTTTAAAATATTTAGCTGTGGATTTAAACTTTTTGTATTTTTTCCAGTTTGCAGTTCTTTGATAAGCGCATCAGTTGCGAACAAGTGGATGGATTACTCTTTTTTTAAGATTAATAGAGAGAGAATGTTATATAGTATTAAGGCCACCTTTTGTAGCGGACATTTTTTTTTTGTAATATGGTCAATAAAGAATAAATAAATAGATAAAAAAATAGATAGTAGTGTCCAAGATTCTCTCTAGTAATATACGTCCTAAACTACGTTCTAATATATTAAATAGTATATAAAATAAGTGGGTGTCTCTACATATATTATAATTGCTCTAGTTGTAAAAATCGAAGTTATTAATATTAGTATACAGTATGTTAACTGACGTAACCTCTTACTTAAAACTATTCTTTTTTTTTTATACAACTCATAATGGCAAACAAGCTGACGGCCCACCTGATGGAAAGTGGTAACCGTCGCCTAGAGACATAAGCAGTACCATGAACATAACAGAGTATACTGTTTCGCCCATGATACCCCCCATGCGTTGCCATTCCTGAGGACTCAGGTGTTATTCCTCTGTACCTTGTAAATTGGAACAGTACAATATATACAACTATCCCTCTTCTTTTTCGTAAGTGCCGTAAAAGGCGACAAAAGAAACTTAATGGTTGAGAGATGGGCAATAGTAGTCCTCTTAAATCATCACCATAGCCTAACTGCGGTTACCAACACGCCAGCCAAGCGTGGCAACTACTGACAAAACTCCCCTTATGGGGAATGCTTATGTTCAACAGCGGACAGTTAATGGCTGAAATAATAATAATAAAAAATGAGTACGATGATAATTATTGTAATTGTATATTCCAGTTAACGTTTATTTCCTTGTACAACTTTTAGCTTCTAAATAAATGATGGTAGGCTCTAAATACAGCATCAAATTATGTTGTCGTTGACCGTGAGATTTGGTTTGAATTATAATTACTATTATTTAACTAGTCATATATTAAATATGTAAAGACGGGTGACACGTGGGAGTTGAGTATGGTAAGACGTGTTCATATGCCAATCATCAACGTTCAGATGCTGATAATAATAAGAAACATTCTTAGTTATTATGTGATGGAAAACGTATTATTTGGAGTATAATTTTCAGAATCAATTAATTAATATTAACTATAATGATTTTATGATGATTTTATTAATATAATAAAATTGTAACTAGATGATGTCTGTACATGGAAGATAATTAAGAAAAAGTGATAGATGAGGTCTCAGTAATACAAGATAAAACAATATTATTTATTGGTCTGTTTGCTTCACCAAATTTAATGCGGTTTTCACAGTTACGTTCCCGAAGGTCTAACTTAAAACTGTAGTTTTAATTTGATGGGAAGTCTAGAAACAGAAGTGTAATTGATTTCTTACTTCTGAAATCCACTCGTAGGAAGTAGTGGGCAAAAAGCTAATGTTTAAATAAAATTATTAAACAATCCGTTTCGTTTTATTGCAACCTTACGTAAATTAAGAACATAGTTATGTTTATTACATAGAGTCAAATTTTGCAACAAACATAAACATCTTTGACACATGAAATAAATTAATACATTGTTCTAGAACAA